AAACTTGGACGATGTATTTTGACGGAGCGTCAAACCAGTACGGGTATGGGATAGGAGTGTTGTTGATAGCGCCTGACAACTCCCGTATTCCCCTGGCCTTCAAACTCCGGTTCAAAGTCTCGAATAACGAAGCAGAATATGAAGCATGCATTGCCGGTCTAGAAGCAGCCCTGGAATTAGGGGCAAGACGATTGGACGTCATCGGGGACTCGAACCTTGTTGTGTCTCAAGCAAAAGGAGACTGGAAAGTCAAAGAAGAAAAGATGAGATGATGATGTATCACCGGACCTTGGACTTGTTAATTCCTCAGTTTGAGAAGCTAAATTTTGCTCATCTACTAAGAGAGAACAATAGGTTCGCAGATTCTTTAGCAACTCTATCTTCCATGATAAACATCCCGTCCGGAGTCCAGATGCGTCCCGTCATCATTGACCAGAAATTTGCGCCAGCATACGAGTCAATTGCTGCTATAGATGAGGTTCAAGACGAAAACCCCTGGTATTACGACACTGACTGCGGTGCTTGAGACGGCCAAATAGAGGAAGAGGGGTTCGCCCGTGATTGCCTATGAAGGAAGGGGGGTTGGCCATACACTGTTTTAACTGCTGAAAAACCTCTTCGGATTCGGTCGTCCATTCAAAAGTTTGCCGAAGAACTTTGAAGAAGGGGAGGCACTTATCCGTTGTGCGGGAAATGAAGCGATTGAGGGCGGCAATTCGGCCAGTGAGTCTTTGAACCTCCTTAACCGTTCGGGGTGACTGCATTTCAACCAAGGCCTTGATCTTTTCAGGGTTGGCTTCAATACTCCGCTGACTGACCATGAAACCCAAAAACTTCCCAGATCCTACGCCGAAGGCGCGCTTCTCCGGGTTGAGCTTCATTTGGTACTTTCGTAGGGTGGCGAAGGTCTCTCGCAGGTCGGTCAGATGATCAGCGGAGAGTTTGCTCTTGACTAGCATGTCGTTAACATATACTTCCATATTCCGACCTATCTGATGATGGAAGACAGCATTGGCCAAACGTTGGTAGGTGGCCCCAGCATTTTTCAGTCCAAACGGCATCACACGGTAATGGTAGGCACCTCAGTCGGTAATGAAGGAGGTGTGTTCACGATAAGATGGGTGCATCAGAATTTGGTTGTATCCTTTTCCGAGCCATCTAAAGAAGCAATCCAAGCTGTGAGATAAGTCTAGAAATCTAAAAGAAGGAGATTTAGTGCTCAAGGACAACCGAGCTCCCATCCACGACCCAAGGGGCAAGTTCAGACCCAATTGGACTGGTCCCTACATCATCAAAGCTATCTGGTCAGGTGGAGTTGTGGTTCTGATGGATCTAGATGGCCTAGAGTTCTCCTAACCGATCAACATGGACAAGTTGAAGAAATATTATCCCTGAGAGGCTCGCTAGGCCGAAAACCCGAAAGGGCGACCTAGGCAAAAGTTAGAGCATTGAAAAAATTGAAAAATATAAAAATTGAGCTCGCAAGGTTGAAAACCCACAAAGGGCGGCCTTGGAAAAAATTAGAGCGTAAAAGGAGAATGAAAATACTCGAGTGAACCTAAGCCTGAACTACGTAAGGCTTGATTCCCATCTTTGGGATACGTAGGCAGCTTCATCCTGAAGTTCAGCCATAAACTTTTCCCCAATCAGCTTTGTCCATTTGATCATCTCGGTCATCTTCGTCTATTCAACATTCAAGAGTTCGGTCATGATCTCTGGTACAGTGTTTTTCAAACTAAGGGCAACTTTCTGTTGCCATGCAGTGCTGCGGTACTATTCAGACTAGGGGCAACTTTCCAGTTGCTGGGATTCGGGGTTTGTGCGTCTCAGTGACAGATCTCAGGCATGTCCAGTTCTAATCCATATCGAAAATAGTTTTGAAAAGTTTTGATAAAAGTTAACTTTGTTCAAATTAATCTTTTTACAACTAAGACCATCTCTAGACCAAAACGGGAAATTTTCAGTACCACAACCTTCAAGTTCATTGATTTCAAGTACAGAGTCCTCCTGCTCTTGCATACAAATTGAAGTTGCTTTTTATTACATTTATAAGGAAAACTTGAAAGTACTAATAAAGCAATAAATCTGGGGCATAGTCGAGTCAGGTGTTCCTGCGCCCCCTCCCAGAGCTGCTTGAAGCCTCTGATGCTAAAGTGGGCCCTTCCTGTGCCTCTTCATTGAGCCAATCTAAGCACTCATCAGACAAAGTGCAACTAAAAGTAGGAGCGGGGACCAGGAGTTCTCTTGTCCTCCACACTGTGGCCTGCCAAACAAGCTGCGCACCTCGAAACGAAAAGGCAGCTGGATATTCTATCCCCTCTGCGGGGCAAGTCTGGTCATGGCCGAACTGGCGTCGGAACCGGAATGGGAAATAGAACGCACAGTGAGTAAAGCTAATCAACTGAATCCCAGTCTGCCAGGGCATGCTGTAGCTCATTGCCGGTAGATTGAGCCAAGGGCACCGCCAAGCAATGATGTCGGCAAATAAATTGCACATCCAATCGAACCACCAACCCTCATCAAGGGCGTCAACCAGACGTTGCCTGAAGAAGTAGCCGCGAGCTGAATATGCTGGGCAAGAGTCCACAACCTACAACTTGTCCATCAACCACACCTGGGAAGGGATGAAAAATAGAGAATAAAGAATAGAGAGAAGTACGATGAGAGAAAAGTGAGAAAAGGGATTTTGTGAGAAAAACCGAGCTTGAGGGTCGAGTGATGCGAGCAATACATATGTAAGATTGGGTGGGAAACATTACCTACAGCAGTAGTGGACTGCTGGCAAATCTGGTCGTCTCTCGATGATAAAAGGTGTCTAAGCCCATCAACGTCTCTGCCAGAGTCATGGCAATGCAGCTCTTGCCCTCCTTCAAGCCTAGGGCAACCTCGATCAATTGGACGATAGATCCCCCGGAGCCTGAGGAAAACAGAAAATGAGATAGTATGCACAAACAGAGGGCATGTCGCCGGAAGCCTTGCCAATGATGGTCGCTGCGGTCACCGGTATCCAAAAACCGATGAATCAAACTCGGAATATCTAGCATTCCGTCACAAATCAGAGATCGAGCGTCATACGTAGTGAGTCCACACATTCGCCCTAAGGTCTGAACATGACCAAAGTTAAGCTAGGATACGATCTCCTCGTCACGCTCGGATTCCATTAAAGCTTGAAAATCTTCGAAGGTAGAGCATACCTCTTGCCCGCTAAAGCTAAAGACATGAGTCACCGGGTTTCAAAACCTCGCTGCGGCATGAAGAAACGGGAGGTGTAACGGGGTACGACCCAGAGTGAATAGTGCGTTTATGCCGAAACCCCGAAAATTTAGCTTTTCCGAGCCATCCAAGCTGTTAATCCAAGTCGAGAGATTCTGGGCAAGAAATCCCTCCATTTCGCGCAAATCAGTGTTGAATTGAGTAGAACTACGAAGCTGGGGCCTTTTGTAGGGGATAAGATTGAGTGGAGGACAGGTGTCAACATTCTGGTGATTCTTTCATTCATGGCCGGCCGGCCAAATATAGTGCCGACCGATCACCACTTTTGGCCGATAGATCAAAGGTTCTGGCCGATGGCCGTTTCTTGAGGCCGATGGCTTTCTCCCACGGCCGGTGGTCTTCCTCTTTGCTCCCTAAGCTATTTATATGTTGAAACATGCTGAGAATTTGGAGAATGCCACCACTTCCAAGGCCCTCCGATGATGGATTTTATGGCGTCACGCCCATTTGCTTATCGAGTTGTTGTAAATTTGCTTATCAAGTTGTATTTCACTCTCTTCAAGTCTTTGTTGCTTGTCGAGTTGCTAGAATGTTCGGTACAACCCGAGCCTCATCTACGGTAAATCCTAACAAAAACACATCCTCCACGCCATGCTCAATCTTCAGAACTGGTGTAGAAACCTCTAGCGGCGGATGTATCGAAGAATTCCAAAAAATGATTGCCACCCCCTTCCCGTGGGAGTACTTCAACATTTGGTGCAGGGTGGAAGAGACAGCCTTTACCTGGTGTAGCCACGGCCGTCCTAGGAGTAGATTGAAGGTGGTCGGGACATTCAAGACATGAAAATGCATATCCTGTTGCCCTGGACCAACCTGAGTTTGAATCTATACAGTCCCCATCACCTCTCGGCGGGTATTATCATAAGCCCGTATCACTTGGGCATAGGCACAAAATCTGCGGGCTTCAACCCGATAGCATATGCCATCCTCGATAGACACACATTGATAGCAGATCCTGTGTCAACAAGGACCACCGGTATCTATTTCTCTCTACACTCGACAGAGATATAAAGCGGTTTGTTGTGATTTGAGCCCTCAGATGGCAGTTCCTTCTCAGTGAAGGTCAAGGTCGGGGAAGCTCCTCTCGGAAAAACCAGCCCTACCAACTGTTCTGGAGTTGTATCGATTGAAAGTTTCACCTTGTCCATAGTAGAAAGGACAACTTGTCTGTGAACTCTTGAGGCCATAAGTAGTCCCCAGATGGAGATGTCTGCTTGGATTTTCTTAAGCTGTTTCAGTACAGCCTCCTCCTCGAGTAGTTTTTCCTTCTACCTCTCTGCTTCTTTGTCCTTTCCAGACGCCTCCGATTGATCCAAGTGTGGAGGCTTGAAATACTGCACACTCCTGGTCATGTGGTCAACCTCCTCAACATACCAGGTGTCATCTGGTTGGTTCTGCCCCCAATCTTCATCAGTACGGGCAAGACGTAAGTCGTCGTCTTCTCACCACATCTTGTCGACAACCAACAGACAGCTGTCTGGTTCCGTTGCAACTGTTCTTGTGCACACAGCACATCTCGTCCCCGCAGGGGCTTTGGCATTCTTAGCCCTCTCAAGATCTTCAATCTTTTCCTACTCAAACTGCTTCAGTACAGCCTGCTATTCAGTATCTACCGTACTCAAACTGCCCAATTCCCGAGCAAAATTCTTAACATCAGTGCTCTCCGGCGATGCTTTCTGATTCTTAGCCATTCCGGCCACTGCTGATATCCCAACTCCTGATTGCCCTTATTCCGGCTGAAGTCCTTCAACAACATCCGGCTGGTCGCTAATCCATCCAGTATTCTCTGTGGATCCATCCAAGTCGAACCAATTGATGTTCACATCCCCTGAGTCCTGCTCTTCAAAGAACTGTTGATTTGCAATATCCTCTTCCAATTCTGCTAGGACATCTAACCCCTGGCTACATCCATCCTCCTAAACCACACTGATCTCTGCCCCAGCTGGCAACTCTACCCTCAGCTTAGCCTAGTCTGTTGATTTGATATAACCACTCGGGTTGTATGCAAAGCTCCCAGACCCCTCGGGTTCTGAATCAACATTCCCCTCTACCCCCAAAGTCATCCTAGTTCTGTGCTCGATAGTCACCACCACCGGTTCAGGTTGGGTTTGGGAGGTGCTTAACATGCACGAGTCTGTGCTGTCTGGGACGAACATCTCAGGCTTGGGTAGGTGAAAGGGTGTGATATATATGCTAGGGTCGTATGACACAACCCCAGTTTGGATCAGGTTGATGCGTTTAGGTGGTGGAGCTTGGTTATGTGGTGGGAGAGGGTTGGCTGTGACTGTAGGCACCCCATTTTTGACCGGCCTCAAGGCTTGGACGTCATCGTTTGAACACGCGATGATTATCCATGCTTGTGTTTGTTTTGAGTTTCGAAAAGTCTTGGCTGCGCGCCTTGCCTTAGAATCTCTTAACTTCTATGTTTTGTGCTTGGTTGCACCAAGAGCTTGTGGATATGTTCCTGAGGGAAGGGGGTAGCCTGTCGACCAAGTCTCCTGCCCACCGGCCACCTTGATTTTCAATCGACCAAATGTGATGGCCGGCCGGCCAATTTGACTGCCGGTCGACCACTTTGATAGCCGGCCGGCCAAGTGTGGTTTTCAGCAGATATCTCTGTAGATAGCTGGCAGCTGTCATTCCAGGCCATACCCCAGCCCTTGCCTAGACGTAGGAGTTCTGAGGAGCTACAGATTGATATATTTCTATATCAATCAAGCTCTCTTACAAGAGAGAAAAGAGGAGAGATACAACTAAGAAGAAAAAAAAAGAGATACAACTTGAAGAAAAATTTTTCCTCTCTCTAAAATTCTCAACTCTCTCCATATCTCTCTCTTCCAAACCCTTCAAACCCTAAGGCTCTTGCCCCCTTTACACTACCACTCATGGCCTACAACCTCCATACTCCATTCCAGCAACTTGAGGCTATTTTTCAGAGCTTAGGAACACCATTTCTCGGACCAAAAGCTACTGGAAGTTAATGTTGTGCACCAACTGTCAATTAATACATATCATGATATTAAAAAAATATTCAAGAAAATTTTTTTTTTAAAAAAAAGTAATGATTTACAAACATAAAATCAATACAGAAAACTTATTAGTAATGATTTTGTTTGAATTTTGATCTATCACTTTACAATAATTAACATGTTTTTTATTATACAAGTGACCCTATTACGTCATTTTAGTATAAAAATGCTAGTAAAATAATATCAACTAACAAACAATAGTTACAAAAAAATTTTAAAAAAAAAAAACACAGACAATGGTTGGTAGCGAGGAGGGAGAAATGACACACAAAATATAAAATACAAAATCAAAAAAATGGTCATAGATAAAAATAAAATAAAATAAAATAAAGAAAAAAAATGGTGTACCTAAAAGATAAAAGAGTATGTTTAAAGAATATAATAGATTAAACATAAATTAACTTCCAAATTGTCTCATAAAATGTTTAAAGAATATAATAGATTAAACATAAATTAACTTCCAAATTGTCTCATAAAAAAAGTTAAAAAACAATGAGTTTTATCGTTCCATGAATATAATATTTAAAGGGCGAGATGAATGGCTTGGAAAAAGTATAATGTATGATGGCTAGAATTTTTAGATAGAAGAAAAAATTGGATAGAGAAAGAGTGCACAATAGTAATTTTTTTTCATCTTTCTTTTTCTAAATTATAAATCATGGAATCATTATAAAAAAATAATAAATGATGAGATTTTTAAATATATATATATATAGTATAGCTATGCTTAAATTTATTTGGGAAGAAAATTGTGTTTAATTATGGAATAGAGAGAATCTAAATATAAGGTTTAATTTTTATTTTATGTTAGGTTTAATTTTATGTTCATATAAATCAGGCCAGTTGTGAAATATATTAATAGTATACATTTTATAGGAGGTGAACGAGTTTCTTTTTTATTAGATTTATTTTAGGAGAGAGAAGATTGTATGAGATTTATATTACTTTTAATTAAAAGCTTGATTTATTTTGAGAAGGAGGGAAAGGTTGAGAATTGTGTGCTTTTTTTCTTTCTTTCTTTCGTTTTATTGGCAATATATTTGCATTAAATAATTTTGAAGGTTAATATTTATATCATTGGAATAGCCAACAAATGTTTTAATCTTTTTTATAAAAATCAAAAATTCAAAAAAATTAGATTTAATGCTTTGAAACACTTAGGACCTCTACAATGAAAAGTCACTTGGGTATGATATACAGCATAGATAAATTATGAGATTTAAAATAGAGATAAATATTAGGGGAGAAATTTTTGGAACTTGTAGTTCAATTATTATTTTTTAAATCTATAGTTACTTTGTTAGCCAATAATATTATTTTTAAATATTTTTAAAATTACAAAAATTATCAATTTTAGTTTTTTTTTAGCCAATAGTACTATTGTTAAATATTTTTAAAATTACAAAAATTAAATATTGTGGTTTTAATTTTTTTAATGTATAATTTTTTTTTAATGTATAATTTTTTTTTTAATTTTTTTATAAAAATAATTTAACAATTTTATCACTAAACATAGTATATGAGAGAAGTTGAAAATGGTATGGTAATAGGTATGGGAGAAGTCAAAAATGCTTAAGAAATTTAGCCAAACCCCTTCATTGGACTATTGTTTAGTGAAAATGACAGCCAATTTATTTTGCTTCATAAACCCTTGAGGAGAAAAACACATAATTGAATAAGGATAAAGTAAAATATTCTTTTTTTTTCTTGGACAATATTGCTAGAGTAACATGTTACTATTCAGACACGGTAACATGTTACTGTGAGACAGAATAATATGTTACTGTCAAATAGAGTAACATATTACTGTTATTGTTTATATTAATTCAACAGTAATAATTTTTTTTTTTAATAAAGAATTTCATAGTCAACATAGCTCTTAATTGATAAACCTTGATAAAATAATTCTAAAAATACTAATTTTATTACAAACTGACATCTACATAAAAAGTTACATTATATTAAGGGGATTTTTTTTTAAGGTCCCTAATAATAACAATTTAGAGGATAAAGGACACACAAAAAGATAGTGATGCCTCACGTCCCTGAAACAACTTGGCGCGCGTTTTTAATTATTTTGTGGACCAAAATACCCTCGCCAAAATCAACACAGAACCAAACTCATTCCGACGTCTCAGTTACATTCCAAACATCCAGCATCTTCACGAACAGGAGAACAGCAGAATTAGGGTTTCAACATCATCTGCACCATCGACATTACAGCTTCGTTATCTTCTCCAAAAATCATTCCCATTCCTTCCTCACAAATTTCTCTGACCTACGTTAAAGCTTCGTTTTCACGGCTCATCATCATCTCAGTCCATCTTCGTCACGTCGCATCTTCATCTATTAAATTCTTATGGATTCTCTCTCCTACATGTCACTTCTCAAGTCTTCCCTCCCACTTTTTCTAATTTTTAATCATTTGTCAATTATCTAAATCTCAAAAGCCAAAAGGATTATATATATTTAAATAAAATGATAAATATTTAAATATGAGCAACAAAGAGGTAGAGATAAAAATATAAAATAAATAAAATAAAAAGATAACTATTCAAATTTCAACTACAAAATAATATAAAGAGTCAAATAAAAGATAAAATAAATAAATAAATAAAAAATATTACGAGTCAATTAATTATAAAAATAAAAAAGTTAACTATTTATATATGAACAATTAAAAAAAATTTAAATAAAAAAATATTACGAGTCAAATGATTTTTAAAATAAAAAGGTAATTATGTATATATGAATGACAAATAAATATAGATGAAAAAATATACAAAAATTAAAATATAACTATTTAATGAAAATTCAAATAAAAGATAACAAAATATTTAAATAAAAAAAAGAATAAGATTGGGATATAAATATCCCAAAAAGATGATAATTTTTTTAACGATCTATATTTATATATTTATCTTTTGTTAGTTTGTTATAGAATTTCTATATATTTCAACTTAATTTTTTTAAAGTTTATCTTTAAATGCAACTTAATATTTTATCTTTTAAAATCATCAATTACTTATCCATAGAAATTTTAAACATGATAGAATTTCATATATATTTTTTGTTTAAGCATAATCTTTTCAATATAAAAATAAGTTCCTGCAAAATAAACCATGAACAGAAAATTAAGGGGTAAAACAATCAACATTGGGTCATTTCTGATCCATTTTTAGTGCCTAAAAATCTTAAATATTTGCTTTTACATTTGAAATGTGTACTTGCATGAGTTTTTGCATTTGTAAGAAAGTGAGTTCATATAAATGGATATTTTTAAAAAAAAAAATTTTGTTACAATTTGTATTTTTCCTTATTTCTTTCTTTCTGTTAATAATGTGTCATTTAATTGAGATTTTATTCTTTTTTTATATTTATAAAAGCACTGTTATTATCAATTTGTAACTCTCTCTCTCTTATTAATTATTTGTGTTTAATTTTATTTTATTTTTTTTGTGTGTAGATGTTAGATTGAAAATGAAGAACACATCAAAATTTATTGGATATGGGTTGTACTTTAAATGCATTCATCGGTTGATTTTTTATTGTTGATTATCCCGTTGAAGTAATTCATGATTAAATTTATTTTTAGTAACTTATTTCCTTTGAGAACTAAACCACAAATTTATTCTTTTTAAAATTTTATTTATTTATTTATTTATTTGGATTCAGAGTTTGAGCAAATGGACAATATCTCATATTTAAAATGTTAATTTTTTTTGAATAATTTAAATATTTATATTCTTTAAGTTTGTCAATTCAAGTTTAACGCATTTTCAAACCTTTTTATTTTTTATTTTTTTATAATCATTCCAAACCTATTTGTGTTTAATGAATCAATATAACGAAAAAACAAATAGCATGTAAAAAAATTTTAACCACTAACTGAATATAATGGAAATTAAAATTAATTTTATTTTAATTTATTATATTTGGGTTCCACTAATCTAGTGGCTTAAAACTCACAGTTTTAATGCATTATTCCAATTTAGGTAATTCGACCTCCACCCACAGGCACTCAAGCAGTTTATATCACATAAGCAGCTAGCCTCATGGTAATCATGTTATTATGGCAACACTCACACGCATGCGGTATGCTAAAGCGTCTTACCTAGTACTTCGAGCAAAACAAAATTAGTTAGTAATCATATGCATGATCCTAGTTTAAGATGGCTAATGCAACACATACGAAAGTAACTAAAATGGGCTCGCTATTCAAACATGGCAGTGAAATCTACAACTAACACGTATTCAATTTGGAATGGAAACACAATGCAGTTAGCATGATGTGCCGAGCCTGGTCACGCAAGACAAATGTATGAATGCACGCATGCATAGCATAAGGTATGCTAATTTAAATATGCCACAGTCTACCATCATAAGCGGTAAATAAAAGGAAAAAGACGTGGGGTGGAGACATACACCACACTCACGCACGCTTATTACACAATTCCTCACTCGGAGGGTCCGAATAAATTACAGTCCAAAAATAATACTAAATTAATTATTACAGAATTCTAATTAATTAAC